CCCCCCCCACTTTCCCACTCTCTCTGAAAAGTGATGGAAAAATATCCTTGGGTGGGGATTAAAAAAAATGCTTTATTGCTAAAAAATGGGAACCATCACCTGAGCCTGTTGGAAAAATGGTGCCAATAGATTTGCTCAAAGCAGGGTTTCCACAAACCTTCAATTTGTAAAAAGAAAACACCAAAATATCTGCAAAGCACAATGGGCAAAGTGCAATAAAGCAAGATATGCCTGTATTAAAAAATCTAAAATTATATTTAAAGACCTGCAGAGTGAAAACTTATTCAACATTGTGTGCCCTCTGGATTTCCATGTCCCGAGGGCCTTCCCTACTACTTAAGAGTTCTGAGGATGACCACCCCCCACCCCATCCTCAAAGGCCTGAGCTTCAGGCCTGCTCTTCTGGAGCCATGTTGACTTGCCCCTGGGCTGCCTCCCTGGCTCAGGGTCCTCCCACTGCAGCCTCAGGAGTTGGCTAGTCTCCGAAAGGGCCACTTCCCCAACGAGCCCTCATTACTTACGTTGTAGAGGAGGTCAGTCCACCCTTCCATGGTGATGCACTGGAAAACAGTCAGCACTGCAAACAGGATGTTGTCGAACTGAGTGATCCCATTGTTGGGCCCTTCCCAGTAGGGCTGGCATTTGGTCCCATTGGGGCAGGTGCGGGCGGGTTCCTCTGTCCCACATGGAGCCGGAGATTCACCCTGAATGTCATCTGTGAAAGGGAAGGGAGAAAAGTCAGGAGAAGGAGCTGTGAAAAACAGCTTTGAGAAGTAGGGGCTCATGAAGAGTCAATGCTGTTAAAAAAAATAATTAAAAAAAAAAGGCTATTGGGATGAATTTATCAATTTTTTGAAAAACAAAAAACAACAAACCCAACCTTTGCCTTTGAACTAGTCATTGTTTTCTATTTTGTTAATTTCTTCTCTAAGTTTTATTATTTGTCCTGTTATTTTCCTACAGTTTTGAGATGGATTAACTTCCTTTAAGGCTATAAATTGTTCTTTAAGTGTGGCTTTAGCTGCATCTCACAAATTTTGTCATGTATCATCATTATTTAAGTAAAATATTTGACAGTTTCTACTATTATTTCTTCTTTGACGCATGGATAAACAAGAAGTATTTCTCTTTTAAAAAACTTGTCAGATATATGTAAGATAGAATAGTATAACAAATTCCCATGTACCTATCATCAATTTCAACATTTATGAACTCAGGGCTATATTCCCTCCCCACACTTTGCCTTGCCGCCAGAATATTTTTAAAGCAAATCTCAAACATCCTATTATTTCATCCACAAATAGGCATGTCTCTTAATTTCCAAACATGTTTAGAGTGGTCTTTTTGTTACCAATTTCCGGCTTAATAACATCAGAGCCAGTGGATATGTTCTGTATTATTCAGTCTTTTGAAATCTGTCAAGATGTGCTTTATAGTCCCTAATACAGTGAACTTTGGTAAATGTGCTGTGTGCACTGTGAGGTAGTTGGGTGCAGTGCTCACCAGACCCCATTAGGACAAACTTGTCCATCACACTGTGTTATTCTCTTGTAGCCTGATTTTTTTTCTTGAGATGTGCTGGGCTCAGGAGCTGTTCTGGGGGCGATGAAGGACAGTACACACAGTACTTACCCTTAGGCGAAGAGCTAAGCTTTCTTCCCCCAAAGCAGGAAGCAGATTGTGAAAATGCCACAAGTAAAGAAACACATGTCAAAGGATGCCCCTTTCTCTAGAAACCAAAGACAGCTTCTCTGCAAAGTTGGGCTGGGCATTAATGGTCAGTTCTAAATTCCAAGGGGTTGATCAAGAGGGAGAGATGTCTCTGTGAACACCCAGATTCAGGGGAGCACACATCGTCCCAGGCATGTCCCCAGTGGACCACAGTAGCGGACATGAGAGGACCTTACTCAGTGAGTGATATTTCTGAAGGTTTTCAGAGAGTGACATTATCCACCAAGAAAACAGACAGCTGAGTGTGTAAACTCAAGCTTCCCACTAAAGGAAAATATATCACAGTGTATGTGCTCCAGGCTTTGTGCACCAGTTCCCAGCCTCCACTCAGCATGTAGCACGGAGAAACAGACCAGCATGGAACACAGGAATCTCATTGGCCTTTGAAGCTTGGTTAAAGAGAAACTCTAGGTCATGCAAAGCAATGTTCACTGCTCTCAGGAGTGTCACCCACTGCTCAAGAAGCAATGACCACATCGGCCACCAGTTTAAGTGGCTAGAAATGCCTTCCCCATTCACGGTGGATTTGGTGCAGGGGCTGTGATTTAATAAATAGAGGTTGGAAGGCAAGTCTTTTAGACATAAGGCTCAGGGCTGGGGGAAAAAATCCATGGGCTCCTAGACTAAATGAGAACCATTGGTTTTTGGGAAGGCAGCCTCTGTTGGGAACCTTCTGTCTCTACCCTGTGCCCAAGTTTGGCTCAATTCCTACGCCCTGAGTTATCCCATTGAACCCTGATCCCTCCTTTTCCTCAGGGCTACAAAAGCTCTTGCATGCTCATAGCATGGGGATAAAATCCTTCACTGCTTGGATTTTTTCACTGCTATGAACTGGTTGCAGACGAGAGCTCTTGTCTCCTTAAACTATTCTGGAAGCTACTGGAAAGCAGGTACAATTCCACTTTATCTATGGGTCTCTGTGAGCATTTAGTATGGTACTGGGTGCATAGGAACCAGGTTCCCGATGACAAAGAAATGCAACTGAAAACTTGTCTATCTTTAGCAGTTTTGCCCAGTGGAGTTCTTGATCCCAATTCCCCTCAACTCCCTGCCCCCCATCATGAAACTCTGAGTGCTGCTTCTGGAAAAGCAACCGTCCAGAGTCTGAGGAATTTGGTTATAAATATATTTTAAAATTAACCTGCTGCCTGGGTGTCTGTATATATCTGTCTCTTACTCACACGCCTTATAATTTTCATCGTGAGCTTTTCAGTCATCTTCCTAAATGGAGGGTGCCCGCCCTCTGGTGGGCCCACCCACATCTGTCCCCTCACAACCCCACTCAGACCCAAGCCAGTCATGTGTCTTCTTGGCTGGAAAGGAAAAAACCCTAACAAAGCCACCAAATCTAGGACCCAGAAGTCCTGGTTTCTCTGCTCTTGGCTGTGTTTTCCGAGGGGCCCTGCCCTGTATCTCTCCTCGAATTTCCGCCCGGTGATGAGGCCAGGCGCAGAAATAGCTCTGCCTCAATTAACACCTTCTTCATCGGGGAAAGAAATAATTAGGACATCCCATACTGGGCGAACTTCACAAGCCCAGGAGAGACGGAGACAAGAGGAGCAAGGGAAAAAAGCGCATCTCAAATAAACCTTTCCTACTGGGGTTTCTTTTCCTCTGGGGAGGTCCGGGGAGGGGGCTGAGCCACTTGGGGTTCACGGGGCAGGGCAGGTAGGCGGGAAGCCACTCCAGGTCAAAGTCTTCTGCCAGCAAGACCTGCCCGAAGCTGCCTTCCTTTCCTAAATGAATTCTCTTTCAGCTTCACCGTCCACTCTGTCCATTCCATCAATTCACGGTGCCCTTGACCCATGACTAGTGCTGCCATTCAGCCTGTCTGCACCGAGACGGCCAGAGGTCCAAATACTGAAACACGGACTTGCCTCCTCATTTTATTCCATTTGGTTCTTGGGCTTCAGAGAGCAAGAGAGTTTGGGTAGCAGGGGATTTAACTGAAAATGTATCTGGAAGCCACTGGGTCTCTGAGTGTGTGGGTTATGGGGACACCGCCCTGCCACACAGCTGGTTCAGAGCACTGTCCCAGGGAGGGGGGCCTCCTGCCTTCCTGGCTTTTCTCCTGCCTCCCCCCCCCTCCTACTTCCTGACCCAGCCACTAAGGGTTGACACTAGCACAGGGTGTGGATGAGAGGGACCAAGACCTTGCTCGCACTCGGCTCTGATTGGTTGGTGCCAGGACTCCCAGTTGGGGTGTCTTTAGGCACATTCTGGGGGAGACTGGCAGAAGCCATCCCCTATTTTCCTTTTCTTTAGGTCACCACCCAGTAAGCAATCAGACCCCTTCCTTCCTGGCCAGGGGTCCCCTCCTTCTTCATGCTTTAGAACTCAGCATGGGCTGTGGTCACTGCAGGGTCATTAGGCAGAGGCGGTCGGCACCCAGCCCACATGCTGTCGTCACCTGCCCTGCCTGCTCCCATCGGAAAACACCTTCGTGACCACCAAGGAGCCATCACCACCAGTGATGAACAGAAATCAGTGAATAAATATCCAGCTCCTTTGCCCCTCAGGGGGCATGGCACTGAGGTGTGTGTCCTACGGGACCGAGCCCTGGTTGCCCACAGTGGTAATCTGCTTGATGTCCCTTTATGAGATATCTTCCCTTCCCTGTCTGACTTCCCCACGCCCCAGGTGGCACTTCCTTGGACCACTTCCCAAAGAAACCACTTACACCTGGGACAGCTTCTGGGGGACCCCAACGCAAGTCCTTAGCGACAACAAGATGTTGGTTGCTGCTACCCCCTGTCTTGCCTGCAGTGCATTTGGAAGCTTCCAGGAGAAGCTGGCCCTGCACAGACCTTCCAGGAGCTTGTCCCCAAGGGAGGAAAAGAAATGGGAGCAAAGTTGGAAAAAACATACATTGTGATGTTTGCACCTACCTGTCCCCTCTTCAAAGCAGGTGGTATGAAATTTTCCCATATAAAATTCTAACCCTATGATTGCAAAAATAAGGATTGCAAAAAATAGGAGAAGGCCAATCTGCAGCAAGGGGATCATCGCCTTCATGATCGACTTCAGGACGACTTGTAAACCTGGGGAGACAAAGAGAGGCCCCATGGCCGTGAGCAGTCACCCCCAACTCCCTCCCCCAGGGTGCTTCTGAGGGAACCCAGAGCACACAGGAGGCTGAGGACAGGTGATGGTGAAGGAAGATGGAGGGAGGACACACATGTCATTATTATAATAGGAACAGTCCTTCTTAATTTTAAAAAGCAATATATAACCCTTGTATCATAGAAACCCACATCTGAAACCTATATGCTAATATTAACCATTGTCACCCCAATAAATTTAATAAAGTGGAAAAAAAGCATTTTATTTTAAAATATTTTAAAAAGTATTTGATGCATGCTGTGTCATTTGATGAACCTTTGGGTTAAAAGGAGTGGAAATCCATTGCTTTCTGAGCCATGATCCTGGCTGCTGGGTGGCTCTCATCCAGAGTGGGGAGTATTTTTCTAATTTTTTTCCACCAAAAAGGGGCGTCTTGTTTTCCCTAATTTATTCAAAGGCATGTAGACAAGTTGCAACTCTGCACGGGCAAGCAGGCAGCGCCTCAGTTCCAATCCAGAGAAACCTGGCATAATTTCACTGGCTTCTAGCACAAGCCCACCATGAGGTGGGCGCACGTGTAAAATGATCCCCATTTTGCAGAGGTGGGAAGCAAGACGCAGAGAGCTGTCGTGATTCACCCAAGGGCATGAGAAACAACAGAGGCAGGATTCAAACCCAGGTCTGAGTGATGTCAGATCCTACGTTTGTAACCACTGTGCTACATATCAGGAAAGTCTATGGTTAAAACTAAGGTTGCAACATATAAGCTGGGGCTTGCTTCTTGATTAGAAGAACCTTGCATGGCCCAGATTAGAGCCTCCTGATGGGTGGAGACCCTAGCAAGAGAGGGAAACTGTCAAGGTGGATCAAGGGAGCCATGCTACTCCCAGGGGTCCAAAATGGAAGGTGATGTTAGTGGAGGCCGTGTGGCAGAGTGGTCCAAGTCAGAACTTTGCTGCGGGTGCACCCGCCTTCTAGCTGCTGTGAGCATTGGCTGCTAAGGGCTTCCAGCCTCCTCCTTCAGAGTTGTTCTTGGTTATAAAGAGATGCCTCACTTGGGAGGCTGTTGCTGCCCCACCTCCCACCCCCAATAATTGACTTGAAAGTACAAAAGGCAACCTCCTTGCCTCAAGTTGGAGGACAACTCTGGTCCTACTCGCACTCCATTCCCCCATTCCTTCCCTCCTGAGAAGCTCCTCCCCCATAAAGAAGGGCACATCTGAACACCTAAGTCTGTTTCTAGGGGAACAGACAGACCTAGTCGTCTTTCTAGCAATGTGACCCTGAAAAAGTCAAGTAGCCATTCTGAACCTCGGTTTCTTCATCTGTAAATGGGGGTTAGATTAGAACCTCCCTCTCATGACTAAAAGAGAGAGTTCACACCTAGCAAAATACCTGACATGTCAGAGGTGGTTGTTAAACAGCTTCTTGTTAGTATTAGCTTTGGGATGGCCCTTAATTTAAAACAATGCGGATGGCAATGAATGTGAAGACCGATGCCAATGAAATGTAAAATGGTGATAATAATAGAACCCACCTCACAGGCTTGTTATGAGGATAAATGAGTTTAAAAATGGCAAATACTTAGAACAGTGCCTGAATAATAATAATTAACTAAGGCAGTAAGACACCTTGGCCTTGATCACATTATTCAGCTGCTCTGAGCCTCAGTTTCCCCATGTGTAAAAACAGAGATTTCAGTACTAGCACCTTTATAGGGCTGAGAACTGAATGAGATGATGTGTAGCGCTTAGCGTGGCTCCTGAGAGACAGCAGACACACAATAAATGGGCACTGTGGTTATGGACGAGGCTCCTGGCTGGCTTTCAGGAGCTCACCCAGACCTGACGCCAGGTTCCTGAGGGTTCCCTGGGGAGCTGCCCCCAAATGGAGGCTGCCCTGACACAGGCTAGGGTAGCACTCGGGGGACCCTCCTGAGATGCTCTGCAGAGGGGGAACAGAAGACTCCAGGCCCTGAGCAACCCCTTGCCAGGGTCGGAAACTCACGCACTTGGGATTCCAGACACCAGCTTGAGCGGTCGCAGCACTCGAACTGCCCTCAGCGTCCGTAGGTCAAACTCTGTCCCAACTGTCGCCAAGATGCTGGAAGAAAGAAACCAGAATAGAAAACAGAGGGTGGGTTTCAGGGTCAGGGTCAGACAGACGGGCAGGGTGCCTGGGGTTTCATGTTGTCATTTATTGGCTGGGCGACCACAGGCAGGTGACCGTACATTGCCAGGCTTCAGTTTTGTCACCTGTAAAACAGAGTTAATGCTACCTGCTTCATGGGATAACATGTGATTTACAACAACCCCAAACAGGTAGATGGTTGATGAAAATAAATGTTGGACTAGGAGGAATAGAAACTCCTCCAGGGCATGTGGTTGGGTGACCACAATCAGAATGGATTGTGGGGAGGCTGGGGGCACTGGGGGAGAGGTTGGGGGAGTGGCAGACCCTTTGGAGCCTGGTAGTCTTTACCAACCGGCAGGAAAGTAGTTCAGTATTAACAGCCCAGACTGTATGGGTTCAAATCCCAGTTCTGCCACTTCCCAGTTGGGTGACTTTGGGCAAGTCACTTCCCTGCACCATGCCTCAGTTTCCCCTTCGGCCTAATGGGATAACAACAGTACTGGAGAGTAGAGGACACCTCAACATTACACTTAAAACAACAGTACACCTCAAAGGGTTGTGAGGATTAAGCATATTGATACTTGTGGAGTGGTTGGCACAATGCCCGGCACACAGGAAGTGTGCTAAGCTACTTATAAATAATGGAAAAAGGGAGAAACCAACGGGTGTGGCCCTGATAGCGTGGACCAGCTGGCATTGGCCCTAGAAGGCGGCTACAGACCTCAAGCCTCGGGTCAAAAGGAGTCACTCTTGCCAATACAGGCGAGACAAGCCTTCTGTAGAAACGCCCCCCCCAGGAAAGACCCCAACCTAAGACCTCATTTGTAAAAGTGTTACTGGTGACACAAGGGGTCCCGCAGCCCCTGCTCCTAAGGCGCCCTGGGGAGCCTCCCTCACCTGTTTCTTGAATGAGTCCATTTCCGAGGTGAGTGACATAGACCGAGCTACTGCAGAGCCACTCAACAGAAAAGGTTGTCATAATCACTCGAGATGATGGACAGAAGATGCTGAAAACCAGTGGAGGGTGGCCATGCAAATAATTGGAAGGTGTCATCAGGGGTTTGGACCTTATCACCTTGGCCTGTCAAAACCAGTATCTGCATCTCTGTCTGAGTCCTTTCTCCAAAACTGAGAGAGGCCCTGTGGGAGTAGGTGGATCAATTCCCAAGCTCCCTCGCCCCTCATTCCAGATTGCTCTAAGATGTGTTCCCCAGAGGGCTGACCCCAGCTGTCCCCCGGAATTGCCTGCTCAACCACTCATCCTTCCTTGTTGTCCTCCCCACATCGATACTTCCTGGGGTCGCCTCCCATATGAACTACTTGCACCTGAATCTTTGTTTCAGGGTCTATTCCGGGGCACCCCAAACTAAGACAGGGGTTGTTCCCAACTCTTTTTCAAGACTACTCCTAGGGCAGAGATGGGCATTTAGATTGGGCTGACCTATTTTTCCACCATCAACAAATGTGCATTTGAGTATGTCCTATGTATCAGGCAGAGCAACACATGAGATTTTCCCTGCCCCATGAAGCTGATGCAGAAGAAAAATGTTTAACAAAAAAATGGACACAATAAATGAACCTATCACAGGTATAATGCATTCTTAGAGAGAGCCAGAAGACAATAGCTCTGATGGCACACAGCAAGTCACATTAACTAGTCTGGGACTCAGGGAGGATACGTCTCAAGCTGAGGTCTCATGGAGTAGGAGGAGGAATCTGTTCAGTGGGGGAAGAACTTTCTAGACTAAGGGAATGGCTGAGACAGAGAGCATGGTGGGAAGAAGCTTGGTAAGTTCAAGGAATGAGATGGACCACGAAGCTGGGGAATAGGGGGAGCCGTGCCATACAACCCCAAAGAACTTTTAATTCCATTTACTCTATTTTTCTCTTCTTTTACCAACTTTCTCATATTCCTTTGGGTTCCTTGAACACCATTCTATTTCTGCAACTCACTTTCTCCCTTCTTGGCAGATAGTTGATTAGAGTGTGCATAGCAAATGAGAGGCATCATTTGAATCTCCATTTATTCAATTCACAAACACTAACTGAGCACCTACAATGTGCTGGGCACTGTCCAGGTCCTGGAGACATGAGCCATAGGGACCCCTGTCCAGGGGGGAAACTGAGAATAAACCCAATAAATACGCTGGATGTCAGGGTGATGAGCATGACAGAGAAACGCAATGCAGGAAGGGGGAAGGGAAACATCCGAGATATGGAGCAGGATGAGGGGAGTAATGACATTAACATCAGTCGATAAAAGCAATTGTTCTTTACCATCTGACAAGGAAGTAATTCAGTGATAAGAATGCTCAGACCAGCACTGCCCAGGAGGACTTTAATAAGAGCTGCGTGTGAAATTGGTAATTTTCTAGCAGCCACATTAAGAGAGTAAAAAAAAAAAGCATGTGAAATTAATTTTAATAACATAGTTTCTTTAACCCAGTCTGTCCAAAGTGTTATCATTTCAACAGACAATCAATATGAAAGATTTATTAATAATACATTTTATACATTACTTTCTTTGGACGAGTCTTTGAAATCTCTACTTCTGGCACATCTCAATTGAGGTGCTTAATGGCTGCGTATGGCCAGTGGTGAAAGTACTGGACAGTGCAGGCCCAGGGAAAGACACTGAAGTAAAGATGTGAAGAAAGGTAAGGGGTGAGCCACACGAATATGTCAGGGGGAAACTAGGCAGCTGGATAGCCAGTGCAAAGGTTCTGAGCAGAACTATGCCTGGTGCGTTTGAGGAACAGTGTGGAGGCCAGTGTGGCTGGGGCCAAGTGAGCCGGGGTGACAGTGGAAAGATATGAGGGCAGGGAGGTGATGAGACCTTGTAGGCCACGAGGAGACTCTGGCTTTTGCTCTGAGTGAAGTGGGAGCTATGGAGGGTTCTGAGCAGAGGAGACACATGATCTTATATATTAAAATAAGACCCCTCTGGGACATGTCCAAAAGCTGAGAGACTGGGGAGGAAGCAACTGCATTGTTCCAGGTGAGCGATAATGGGTCCAGATCAGGTTGTGCTGGACGCAAGGGTAACACTGAGGTGAGCTCAACCCTGCCCTTAGACGATCACACAAGTAAGTGGTTGAGAGATTCAAGTCCTCTGGTCCCACAGCTGTAGGAGGCTGGAATGAGGAGGAAATGAATGAACACCGGCAGGAGGGCTGGGGACAGCATCACTGCGGAGTCCAAGTCTGAGGGGGCAGCGCAGGACCAAATCTCACAAAATCTCAGACCTCGGGTCAAACCCTAGGCCTGTGTTTTCTCATTGCGTGGCCTTTGCCCGAACTTGTCCAAGCCTCAGAAAGGCAGAACTTCCCTCCTGCTCAGTGCCATCCCAGCCAGCACCCAAGACGTACTATCTCCTGATGTCCTCCCTGGGAAGGTGAGGAGTTAGGAGGAGAATTGGAGGCAGAGGAAGGTTTCTCTGGCCAAGAGTGTCCTCAGAGGCAGAGGCTTCACTCAGGGTGTGTGGTGCATAAGAAATCAGGTGGGCTGGACAGTGGAGGCTGTGAACTGGAGGCTGAGGAGGTGGGTCCTGTCGTGTGGACAGTGGGAGTCATGTAAGGTTTTAGAGCAGGGGAGGGATGTGATTGGGGTTGGCGTTAGGAAGACAAGCCTGACAGCTGAAAGGACAGATTGGTGGTGATAGAGGCAGGAACTAGGAGGGAGCCGCAGAGCAGGCCGGCGTAATGAGGGCTGGAAGTAGGACAAAGGCAGTGGGAGTACAAAGGAGAACCCGATTTATATTTAGCTGCCATTGATTGCTGTGCACCAGGGAGCTTGCCTGGGCTCATCAAATCCTCCCTGCATGCCAGTCTTTAGCAGGATGAGCCCCATTTTACAGAGCAGGACACTAAAGCCCAGAGATGATACTAATGCATGGAGATCCATACCACCAAGTAAGAACTTGAGCCAGGACACCAGCACCCCAGAACTCCAGTTCTCCCCCTCACATGGCTCACTGGATGGGGCTAGGGCAGCAGTGGAGATGAAAGAAAAGAAAAAAATAGCTTCTTGATTCTGAATGAACCACTGAGTGACAGTCATTCATTTATTCAGCAAGGGTTTATTAGCACCTACTATGGAGCTGGGTGCTTGAGTAGGACCTGAGGATGCTGCCATGAACAAGGGACAATGGGAAGACACGTGGTAGGTCAGATGGGGCGTAGCCACTGAGGCTTCCAACGGAAGGATGGAGCGTGGGGTGGGAGAGAGAGGAATCCAGGGCGACTGGAGGGTTCTGGCCTGGGCTATCTGAAGGAAGGAGTTGCTGTCAGTTGAGATGGGAAAGATGGAGGAAGGATAGGTTTGAAGGAAGGTCAAGAGCTGGGTTGTGGACATGGTAAGTCTGAGATGGCAGTTTTCTGCAACTCCCTTGTTAAAACCTTCCACTGGCTCCCATCAGGCTTAGAATAAAATCCAAGCTCTACCATGACCACAAGACTTTGCGTGACTTAACTCCTGCAGGCCATGCCACCCCACTCAGGCCACTCTGACTTTCTGTTCTGCCAAGAGGAAAAGCTCTTTCCCACCATGGGAATGATAGATTGGCTATTTCTTGTACTTCAAATGCCTGCCCACGCCCTCCACTCTCTCCCTCTTTGCCTAGCTGGCCCTCTTCAAATCCTTCAAGTTGTAGCTCAAATTTTGCCTTCTCAGAGAGGATTTTCCTGGCACCTCTGGCTAAAGAGGCCCTTTGCCCCTGGAATTATGTCGTTTATTAAGTTGTACTTGCTATTCGCCTCCTCTCTAGGATGTCAGCTCCATGAGTACAGGGACCTTTATATTTTCTGCAGTCCCTGAAGCACTTCACATGGCCTAGCAGGTCCCAGGTAGCTGGTGACTGAGGAAGGAGCGGCGCAGGCAGGGTTAGCGTGGACTAGAGATCCAGGGGTAGACGGGCAAAGTGAGACGAGCCAAGGGCCACAGTGGAAAGGTGGGGAAAGGCAACATTTTAA